CGTGATTGATCTAGAAGTAAAAAGTATACATGTTCTAACCTATAAGCAACATTCATGAATGAGCACTGTTCTGGCGCAGAACACTCCATGATATCACGCATCGCCACAGATTTTTTTAAATGATATGCAATCACAGAAGATTTTGTTACGTACCGGTGCGAGGCTCATTATTCTGTAATATCATCATCATCGTACAGCGAAATACAGTGAGGCAAACTTCACTGTTCGCTGCCGAACTCGCAATGCATACAAGGTTAATGGTAAAATTTAAGGTGGGCAGGGATTGGACTTAATTTGAGGGAGGGCGAAGAAGGTGAAGCTCTATGGTCAACACACAGGGTATACAATCAAACTCTGCATGCATACCGTTTCATACATTCTGACCTGATACAAAACGACAAAAAGAACGCTACTGCTGTCTGTTCGGTGCCATATCCTTCAATGTCTCCAACTCCGGTTTTGGAGTCTTTCGGACCCCAACCTGGAAGACGAGAGACACCTACTCTAACTAATGGCTCTGTGCATTTCTTCATGCCTTATCTCCATGTCATCTGTTGACCTCCACCCCGTTTTCTCCAGCCAGCTACAGCGAATAAAAGGTGGTGCGACAGACGATGACTGGGCGTACGCAGTACGTGTCTTAGCCAGCTAAGTCTATTAATCTGAATTCGGTGTGCTAGCAGGTTTATCCCTGATAAACTCCCAAACACTCGACTCCTGACATCCAGATTAATAACCCGTTCGCTCCATCTCACATGGGCTAAACTAAGTAAACACTGGTAATCGAAAACTTCTGGTCGATGGATATCTTCTACTTGCAAATTCAAGATCGCACAACCATGAAGCAGAACTGAACGAACGGTGGTACAATATACACCGCCTTTCTACTTCAGTGAAACGTTGTATCTGAGCCAAAGGTGTTTCAATCCTGCTGCTCGAGCCTTGGAAATGCGGACGGTTATCTCTTTTGCTGCGTTACCGTCATTGGTTGCGCAACTACCTAAGTAGGAAGTAATACATCACAACTAATTCCTGGCCAGTTTCAGAGCAGGAGTAGTCCTGCAGCATCACTTTTCACTTTGAAGGTGAAAAGTACATCCCGAATTTGGTAACATCGCTTGTCAGTCTATCACGTGCACTCTACGCGTCCTCCAAACATTCGGTCAGACAGGTGATGTCATCAGCGTACCCCAAATTGCACCGCTTTTCTCTAGCTGCATATTCAATACCTACGTTTTGGAGTCCACTTCGTAAGTCCTCTAGTATATCGTCTACGACGAAATTGGCAGGAATGGCGAAAGAGGGCACCCTTGACGGACGCCGCTGCTGGTAACGAACGGCCTACTCAGTTCAGTGCAAACCCTACAAAGACCAGAGGTCTGTGAATACAGTCACCTCAGTAGGTTAACGTAATTCTGGGGCGTTCCTTATCGAAGAAGGGAACCCATCAGAGCTCCGCCGTCAACTGAGTCCAACGCTCCTTTCACTGCGATCGTTGGTCGACGGTGGGTTTGACGTTGCTGTAGGACCTGAAGCAATGAAAACATTTGATCAATACATCCACGGCCAGGCCGGAGTCCGGCTTGTTGTTCACAGATACTGATCTCTCTTAAAGGCGTCAGACGTCGAAGTATAACTGGACGACGATCGGGATCAAACTTATCCCGCGGTGGTTTTT